CGTAACATTAATGCACCAGTAACTCACAAGAGACCAGTCTCTCTCAGCAGACCAGTCGTAATATACAAAAGACCAATCTCACTCAACTGACTAATCTTACCCTCCAAGATACCAGCCTCTCTCAACAGACCATTCTTGCCATACAAGAGACCAGCCTCTCTCAAAAGATTAGTCTTATCCTACAATAGACAAGCCTCTCTCAACACACCAGTCTTACCATACAAGACACCAGCCTTTCTCAACAGATCAGTCGTAACATACAATAGACCAGCCTCACATAACAGACATTAGACACCAACGTCTCTCAAAAAGACCAGCCTTACCATACAAGAGACCAGCCGATCTCAAAAGACCAGTCAGACCTATCAAGAATTCAAAGCGACAGATATTCGTGCACTGCAGTACAAGCCTGATGCTACTGTCTACTTCAAAGTGAATTAGCAGATAGCTTGCAATTGCTAAGCTAGGGTCGTAAGATTATGATCTCATCTGTAGCCCCTGACAAGTTGTACAAGAGCAGAAAAAAAAGATAAAAGCTGTCATATTTGAGCACCTAAAAGCAAGTCATAAACACACCTTTTTATGATGATTTCCCTGATTTTAAAAATATGTTGCCATTTTAATTTTTCTTTATGTGCCGTTTATTCAAAGAATAAATTTTAAAAATAAACACATTTTTATGTGTTACATTTTTGTAAAATAAGTAAACATTAAGTCATTATTAATGTGATTAATGTGTTATGTCTCATTCATAATATATCTGACAATAAGGTTTCTGTTTTTACTATTATCATTCTATAAACCCAGCACCCACCAGATTTAGTAAAATAAACTGTTAGAATAGAAAGATGTAATAAATAAAGCATGACCTTCAACAGTTAACAAGTCTAGTGCTAAATTCAGACATAATGAATACTGTCGATAGCGATAAAACCATACTAAAACATCTCTACTAAAAATTAAACTGACCCCATAATGTATAATAAACTCAATTAATTAAAATATGAGCCCAAAACTATAATCTAAATATTATGAAGTGTTAGGGGCCTAATTATAACTTAAAAACATAAACATAACTAAATCACGTTCATTGGACAAAACGAACGAATGCGGCTGAGACCGAAATTCTCGGCTCAAAACAGCTAAGTCTGCGCGCGCACAGATAGACGGTTTGCACCGAGAATTTTAGACCGAGCAAACCGTCTATCTTTTTAAACCTGCTATAATTTTGTAAATATCAACAAAACCCATTTTAAAATGCTACAGTATAGTCGGTAGAGAGTTTCTTCGGAGATATCATTAAAAAAAATTTGTATTAGAGCGATCGAGAAGGAAAAAAATCAGTTTTTTGTCTCTCCTGTAAAATTTACATTTTCGGAGTTAGACGGTTTGCGACCGAGACCATCGATATATATATATATATATATATATATATATATATATATATATATATATATATATATATATATATATATATATATATATATATTAACAGTACATTTTTTTCAAATTATATTTTTACTTTTTCGTATCTACGAAGTAAGAAAACAGTCTTGTAATCGTGCAAATAAAAAAAATAAAATAAAAAAAAAAAAAAAAATTATAATCGAGATTTTTGCAAATCTCGACGTTTTACAGCTCCTGAAGTCGGAAAAACAGTTTTGCAATCTTGTCCGTATGTCTGTGTGTGTGTCTATGTATATGTGTGTCTGTATGTATGTGTGTGTGTGTCTATGTATATGTGTGTGTGTGTGTGTGTCTGTAGACACAATAACTTGAGTGCCGTTACGATTGATTACAAATCATATCTAAATCCTGAGTTGCAATCCCTGTCGTTTTATATAAGAATATTGGAGAAAGTTTTGAAGAGACTACTCTCGGTTTATTATTGAAAGGTGTCCCTTAATTTAAGGGATCCAAAATTTTTTACTATTTGTCAATTTTTATCTGTTGATTTGTAAAATGTCATCAAAATTGACTTGAAGTATGTTATAATAAAGCTACCGTGTTTTGACTTTCAAACAAAACCTACAGTTAAGTAGTCAATAAATAAAATATATTGTTTTGACAAGTTCACATTTTAATATGACAGATTTTGTATAATTATTATGTAATGAAAGTTAGAACGTTTTATTGTGGTTTTCAACCATGTCTAAGTTAAACTTGGTTAATTTAGCTATTCTTGTAAAAGTTATTTCCCTTGAATGCAATTTTGGTATTTGGATTACCAAATAGGAGATAATTCGTTGCTTAACTTGCATTCATTTCAAATTCCTGCACCTTAGGTTGACCGATTACTTATAAATACATCTTTAAGTTTTTGTTTGCTATTGTAAAAACTATATAGAGAAGAAGTTCTAAACAAAATAGTTTGGTAGATTTTTTTTTAGCATTATCAAGTTGAAAAAAACAAATACATTAGTAGCCGTTGTAGATTAATACTTAATATTAGTAGACATACAGTATGAGATAGTGCAAATGCGTCTATAGGGGGGGGGGGGGTGAGGAGTGGGCTATGTCGTAAAGTAGAAAGTAGACTCGTGGACAACAATTTCAATAGAATGTGATTACGCTTGCAAACTTGAAGGAACTAGTACAAACTTTTGCGACCAAGGAGACAACTGAAATTTGATTTCGATGTCTACTTATAACATGTATGCAATTGTATAAATTAATATGTCACTTTAAATTAATTATTTTCTTATACATATGTTTTAGTAATTAATTTGTGTGAAAGGGGACGTTTTAATAAGTTATGCCTAGGGCATTAAATAAGCTGGCGCCGGCACTGATCTCATTACTTGACGAAATACTAGGACTTGAACTCAATATTTTGTCACACAGTAAATGTTTTATTCAAGAATTTAAAGGTGTGTAATTGTATTTGATTTTTTTTTTACTACAATAATTGTTATGGTGACCAGAAAGATGCGCAACAGAAAAAAGCGCACACAGAAAAAAAGCGCAAACAGAAAAAAGCGCACACAGAAAAAAAGCGCAAACAGAAAAAAGCGCAATTAGAAATAAGCGCAAACTGAAAAAAGCGCACGCAGTAAAAAAAAGCAAACAGGAAAATGCGCAAGCAGAAAAAAGCGCACACAGAAAAAAGCGCAAACAGCAAAAACACAAACAGAAAAATGCGCACATAGAAAAAAGCGCAGACAGAAAAATAAAAATTCATTGACATATATTACATCTCTTTCTATTAAAAAAAAATTAAGTAATTAAAAATCGTATCTATATCCCGAGTTGCCATCCCACGTAGTGTTATAAAAGAATATTCGAGAAAGTTTAGGGGAGATCACTCCCGGTTTATTTTTTTGAACGATTACAAGACTTTCTCTATACTTTGTATATACCAGAAAGTAAAAATACACAAAAGTAATGACGTCATCGATACCCTAGAAAAAAACCCCACTGTCCTTACCTCCTTATTCATTTGTCTAATCTTAAACGTTGTTTGCGTGCAGTTTCTTTCATACATCTCTTTGGGTAGGGTAGGGGACTATGCCGAAGGGGGGGGGGGGACAAAATTTTCTTCGGAGTGGGCGTACACTGGTAAGAGTATGTTTTCTATATAAATTCTATTTCGTTGAAGGGCACGGTATACGTGCTTCCCCACCCCCAAGTAGAGTCGCCTGAAAGATACTCTAAATGCGACTTTTGTCATGTTTGTGATTAGGTGCAAGATTTAGGGGTATGGCTACGACTATATTTAGTATCAATGTGCACAAACTACGTGTAGATCGAGCATAAATCCGGTAAAAATGCCCATTCTGGATAAAATCCGTTTTCAATGACATTTTTCGTTTCCAGTTCAATTTGAAGTCGAGACGGTGCTTTTGGTTTTGGTTTCGGTCAAGAGAAAAGAGACATCACTATTAACCTAGCGCCCGTTGTGTTTCTCCCTCAGCGGGCCATTTATCTCGGTAGTTTATACAACGAAAAAAAATCAACAAATATAAATGGTAGCTGCAGTGAGGTTTAAGCAAATGGTAATGGAACATGTAGTGTTAGTATCCTCACAATGTAAAGACAATTACATATACAATAGACGCTCCTGTACAAGGTGTTCGTCAGCTCACGGAAACATGGTTCATATTAAGATTTGGCACTAGAGCACTAGCTGGCTTAAACGGCCAAGCATCTTTTATCTATGGCTCAGTTACTGTCCATTAAAGTCGTTATATCAGTTTATATAACGAAACAATCGCCAAGTTAAGTCGCCGTATAATCTTGTATAACAAAACAATGGCCCAGTTAAGTTGCCGTGTCATCTTATATAACGAAAAAATGGCCCAGTAAACTATAATCGACACATAAAGCCGTAGGGGAGTCCCTCTGTGGTGTTTGATTGACAATCAGAAACTTTCTCACAATGTGGAAACTCAGCTGAAACAGTTTTCTAGCAACAATTGGGCAGCTCAAGTCTGTGGTTGTCTTGTGCTGGTCGTACAAGAAAACTGGTCCAATACAAATGAATACAACACTACATTTGTCTTTCTCCTGCTCCTGTCCTTCTCCTGCTCCTATCCTGCTCCTGTATTTTTCCTGCTCCTATCCTGCTCCTCTCCTTCTCCTGCTCCTATCCTGCTCATGTCTTTTTCCTGCTCCTATCCTGTCCTTCTCCTGCTCCTGTCCTTCTCCTGCTCCTATCCTGCTCCTGTCCTTCTCCTGCTCCTATCCTGCTCCTGCTACCACCCTGCTCCTATCCTGCTCATGTCCTTCTCCTGCTCCTGTCCCTCTCCTGCTCCTATCTTCCTCCTGCTCCTATCCTGCTCCTGTCCTCCACTGCTACTGTCCTTCTCCTCCACTGCTCCTGTCTTTTTCCTGCTCCTATCCTGCTCCTGTCTTTTTCCTGCTCCTATCCTGCTCCTGTCCTCCACTGCTACTGTCCTTCTCCTCCACTGCTCCTGTCTTTTTCCTGCTCCTATCCTGCTCCTGTCCTTCTCCTGTCCTTATCCTCCACTGCTCCTGTTCTTCTCCTGCTCCTATCCTGCTCATGTCCTTCTCCTCCACTGCTCCTGTCCTTCTCCACTGCTCCTGTCCTCCTGTCCTTCTCCTCCACTGCTCCTGTCCTTCTCCACTGCTCCTGTCCTCCTGTCCTTCTCCTCCACTGCTCCTGTCCTTCTCCACTGCTCCTGTCCTCCTGTCCTTCTCCTCCACTGCTCCTGTCCTTCTCCACTGCTCCTGTCCTCCTGTCCTTCTCCTCCACTGCTCCTGTCCTTCTCCACTGCTCCTGTCCTCCTGTCCTTCTCATCCACTGCTCCTTTCCTTCTCCTGTCCTTCTCCTGTCCTTCTCCTGTCCTTCTCCACGGCTCCTGTCCTCCTGCTCCTATCCTGCTCCTGTCCTTCTCATCCACTGCTCCTTTCCTTCTCCTGTCCTTCTCCTGTCCTTCTCCTGTCCTTCTCCACTGCTCCTGTCCTCCTGCTCCTATCCTGCTCCTGTCCTTCTCATTCACTGCTCCTTTCCTTCTCCTTTCCTTCTCCTGTCCTTCTCCTGTCCTTCTCCTGTCCTTCTCCACTGCTCCTGTCCTCCTGCTCCTGTCCTTCTCATCCACTGCTCCTTTCCTTCTCCTGTCCTTCTCCTGTCCTTCTCCTGTCCTTCTCCACTGCTCCTGTCCTTCTCCACTGCTCCTGTCCTCCTGTCCTTCTCATCCACTGCTCCTGTCCTACTCCACTGCTCCTGTCCTTCTCCTGCTCCTGTCCTTCTCATCCACTGCTCCTGTCCTTCTCATCCACTGCTCCTTTCCTTCTCCTGTCCTTCTCCTGTCCTTCTCCTGTCCTTCTCCACTGCTCCTGTCCTCCTGCTCCTATCCTGCTCCTGTCCTTCTCATCCACTGCTCCTTTCCTTCTCCTGTCCTTCTCCTGTCCTTCTCCTGTCCTTCTCCTGTCCTTCTCCACTGCTCCTGTCCTCCTGTCCTTCTCATCCACTGCTCCTGTCCTACTCCATTGCTCCTGTCCTGCTCTACTATTGCTGTTCTACCTTTCAACTCTCCATACCTGACCCCTCACCTGCTTATCTAGGTTGTACACAACCAGCATATTGTACACACCCGTGTACCAATATATTACGTCACACTATTTGAACTAACTTAAAACAAACAAATGTAATATTTTCTTGATTTTAGCAATTCATTTTTTTTCCCAAGCTTAAATATTTACCCAAATTATAAAAAAAAACAGCGTCCGTTTTTACCAATGTTATTAGATATTGTTTTACAGAATGTTAAGTAGAATGAAATGAAATAAAAAAAAAAAAAGATTAAAATAATATTATATGATGTCGAAAACTATTCTAGGATTCCCCTCCCTTGATAAAATATTTTCCCGTTTGATTGATTACAAAACATTTACATTGTGTTTCGTTTCGTCTTTAAATTCTGCATGTTTTTAGATCAAATACATTAAAAACAAAAGGATAACTGTCTAATCTTTGAGTTTTATTTAATATTTAAATACTGAACGTTTTTACTATTTAGATCAAGTAAAATAAAAAGAAGGGGATAACTCTGCCTTAACATTTTGTCTCCCTTTGTAATAGATTTCAACTCCCTTCAAAAGCATTGCGCCTTACGTAGATAAACTTCTGTATTAGTATTCGGCTAGTGAGTCTTTGAAGCTTGGGATTTGCGATATAAAAATAAATCATAGTTGACAGTTAGACCTAAATAGAAGTTTTCGGAGTTCCAGATTTTGGTTGTTAGTTCTTTGAGAAACGCGTTGAACTGTAAACAAGAGAATTATATCGGATTAAATTGAAATTGTTTTTTATTTTGTCAAAAGAAAAAAAAAGAAAATCTGATTCCACGATGTTAATTGCTATTGCCTGAAAGAAATATTTTCTTCTATTGCCAGAAAGAAATACATTCTGATATTGTCAGAAAGAAATATTTTCTATTATTGCCAGAAAGAAATATTTTCTGTTATTGCCAGGAAGAAATATTTTCTGTTATTGCCAGAAAGAAATATTTTCTGTTATTGCCAGAAAGAAATATTTTCTCTTATTGCCAGAAAGAAATATTTCCTGATATTGTCAGAAAGAAATATTACTATTGAATATCTGTATCACTCCTCACAAGCCCATGATGAAAACTGTAATACTAGATCTAAATCTAATATAGCAAGGCAAGCTGACGCTGTAAATTAACAACAACAAAAATAACAAACAAACAAACAAAACAATTGAGCCTGAGCAAAGTATTTAAAATTTCATCTTTAGAAACTTCCGGTTACTTGATAGTTGCTGTTTTGTCTTTTAGCTTCCCCTTCTGGTGTCTAGATAATTTTACTTGTCATTTTTATTGGTCATTTAGATTGGTTAGTCTCCTGATGGTAACTTAGTCATTTATATTGGTTATTAAACTATTTCTGCTGATCACACATTAATTTAACCATATTTTAAAATACTTTTCTCGTCTAGTGCTCTCTTTATAGTCTGATGAACACTTAGTCATTTTATGACCACTGAGTCAGTTTATGGTAACTTGATGGTAACTTAGTCACCTAATGGTCTGTCGCTTGATGGTTCTTCAGTTATCTGAAGGGAACTTAGTGACCTGATGGTCACTTAGGCACCTAATGATCAGTTGTTTGGTGGTCATTTAGTCAACTGATAGTAACTTAGTCACCCTCTGGTCTCTTAGTCATCTAATGGTCACTTAGTCACATGGCGGTCAGTTGTCTGGTGGTCATTTAGTCAACTGATAGTAACTTAGTCATCTAATTTAGTCAACTGATGGTCACTTAGTCACCCTCTGGTCCCTTAGTTATCTAATGGTCACTTAGTCACATTGTGGTCAGTTGTCTGGTGGTCATTTAGTCACTTTATGGTAACTTAGCCACTGTATGGTAATTTAAAAAACCTGATGGCCACTTAGTCACATCATGGTTATTTAGTCACATAATGGTCACTTAGTCACCTGTTGGTCAGTCGCCTAATATTCATTTAGTCACATGATGATCACCAATCCATACATTCCATTCTCCTGTTCTATTGTTTCAAACGTGTCCATTTACCCCGGGAAGGAAGCAAAAAAATCTGGCAATCCGTCTACCAAACAAGACCAGCGTAGGAGAATGTTCATGAATAAAATAACGCAATCTGAACAGTCTTCAGCTTTACAGGAAGCCGCCTGGGCCTCTGGGATACAAACTTACGGACATGCGCAGTCGAGTCGATTCTTCGACCAACAAAAACACAACGCTCGTAATCTTTTACTTACATGAGTTGGGTAACGTTTTTTTTTTTTTTTTTTTTGAACAAAATAATATTTATACTTTTTCTTTTCTTTTATAATGTATACAAAGTCGGGTCAAAGGTCATGGTAAAAATCGATGGAGAAATTTATGCCAGGCTAACATATAAATGTGGACGTAGGATGGGCATATACATACACCAGACGGGGTAGATATGACGAGGGTTTGAGTGAGAAGTGGCGTGAAACAGGGGTCAGGGGTTAGATGTCTATATTGATTGGCGTCCTGGTGAATAACATATCGGACAGGAAGTGGGTAAACACGTTGATGGGAGGAGGGGGGGGGGTTACTGTAGGGAGGGTGTGTTGACGGAGTAGGTGGGTAGTCTCCCCTTTCCGTCAAGATTTACTTAATATAAGTTTATGTTTTTAGATATTCAATTTCTTCAGATAAATAGGATATCGACCCGGGGGCTGGCTTAAGGGGGGTCAGTGAGGGGTGATGTTGGGATATCAATCATCATTTGAGTTGATGTTGTTTGTGACCGGTATGATGGGGTGGGATGTACAGGGTGGGTAGTGGTGAGAAGGTGGGAAAGTTTAAATAGGGCTGGGGTGTGGGTGTGGTTGGGTCGGTGTGGACACATAGACGTGAACACATGGATGTGAACATATGGACGTGAACACATGGATGTGAACACACGGACTTTATAGCATTGACATTTACTAGCAATGCAAGAAGTTTGGAAATGAAACTTAATATAGAAGAAATAATGTTAAAAATTCCTACTTGATGATGTATTCTTCACTAATATCGTGAAATATATCGTGAAAAACACAAAATGTACAAGAAATAATAAGCCAAGAAAAAAAGGGTCGCATTTGATATAAGGATAAACTAGAGATTGTCGAACTAAATATCTGATCGGCACAGATGCAGGCATACGACGACACGGACATACGGCCGACATGGATATTTTGCAGACTAGAGCATAAAACTGACATGGACATTTTGCAGACAAGAGCATAAGACCGACATGGACATTTGTGGACATGAGGTCGACATCTAGACTATCTGAAACAGACCCCACGAGTTGCCTTCCATTGTCACACCTCCACAACTAAACCGTATCTATAAACCACAACACTCTACACACATGTCCACCACACTACACCCCCCACTAACTACATACATCCCCCACACACTACACACATGCCCCCCACACTCTACACACATGTCCCCAACACTCTACACACATGTCCCCCACACACAACACACATGTCCCCCACACACAACACACATGTCTCCCACACTACACACACCCACACACTACATACATCCCACACACACTACACACATCCCCCACACACTACACACAACCCCCCACATACTATACACATTCCCCACACACTACACACATATCCCCCACACACTACACACATCCCCCACACACTACACACATCCCCCACATACTATACACATTCCCCACACACTACACACATATCCCCCACACACTACACACATCCCCCACACACTACACACAACCCCCACATACTATACACATTCCCCACACACTACACACATATCCCCCACACACTACACACATCCCCCACACACTACACACAACCCCCACATACTATACACATCCCCCCACACACTACACACACCCACACACTACACACATCCCCCCACATACTACACACATCCCCCACACACTACACATATCCCCCACACACTACGCATATATCCCAACACACACATCTGAGTCAACAACCTCCATACCGAGTGTCAAAACGTCATTAGCCAAGTTTGTTCCTGAAGATTAGACAATAATTTCTTGACTTCATCCAATTTATTTAATGATGTAAACACCCCACCCCTCCTTGAACTTGGTGTCCCAAATCTGTAACAGCTTACAGAACAAAAATACATAGTCATGGAAAATATCCTATTTTTTTATCTTCGCCCCCCTCTCCTCCAATGGTTCCAGTACCCTATTATCGATTAGTATTTATCGGTTAGTTAGATCACGTAAAACAAACACAAGTGCCTGCAAGTAGACAACAAATTGAAGACATAAATTTCTTTAATTAATGTTTTTTTCGATAGAGGATCAGAGAGTTTCAATCAGTTGCACCATTAATTAACTACACCAGTATTTATAATTCATTAACATGTTACGTCATTTCTGCATTGTAATCACACTGTATATTGGATCTCGTTGGTGCATTTTTTTCAGTGAAATAAAAGAAAGTTGTTGGTGATTTAAAATTGGTTGCCGCCTACTCGCAATATTTTTTCCTCACACTTTTTTTTACAACCACATTTTTGTTGTTGTCTGTATTGCATCAAAGAATTTGATTTTAATTATTTTTTTTTTAATTAATAAAAGAAGAAAGAGGGATTAGGTTTAATCCTTGATGAAATTGTTACACCGAACAATGCGTCAATACTGTGAGTTGGTAAAAAAACTGAGGTTAAAAAACTCTTATCGTTGATGCGCATCAACAGCTTTGTCATGTGTATAGCGCTACTGTCTAGTAGTGCTGCTTTCGTGTCGCCATAACATTCAACAGCCCGTATCTTCATGACGTCCTTTCTTTAGGACGCCCTTTTCTACATGTCATCCTCTTCACCACGCCACTATCTTCATGACGCCCTTTAGTTCATGACGTCCTTACCTTCATGACGTCCTTACCTTCCTGACGTCCTTACCTTCATGACGCCCTTATCTTCATGACGTCCTTACCTTCATGACGCCGTTTTCTTCTTAACGCCCATATCTTCACAACGTCCTTACCTTCTTAACGCCCATATCTTCACAACGTCCTTACCTTCTTAACGCCCATATCTTCACAACGTCCTTACCTTCTTAACGCCCATATCTTCACAACGTCCTTACCTTCTTAACGCCCATATCTTCACAACGTCCTTACCTTCTTAACGTCCTTATTTTCACGTCGCGTATGTCTTTTAAACGCCCTCTTACTCAGACGCTCTTGCTATTAGACGCCCATGACCCCCTCTTCACCAAGACGCCTTTACCCTCAAGACGCCCTTATCGTCAAGAAACCCTTAACATTAAAACGCCATAGTCACCACGACGCCCTCGTCACCAAGACGCCCTCACCACCAAGACGCCCACAGCACCAACACGCCCTCACCACCACGACGCCCTCGTCACCAAGACGCCCTCGTCACCAAGACGCCCACAGCACCAACACGCCCTCACCACCACGACGCCCTCGTCACCAAGACGCCCTCGTCACCAAGACGCCCTCGTCACCAAGACGCCCTCACCACCAAGACGCCCTCACCACCAAGACACCGTCACCACATGGACGCCCACAGCACCAACACGCCCTCACCACCAAGACGCCCACAGCACCAACACGCCCTCACCACCACGACGCCCTCGTCACCAAGACGCCCTCACAACCAAGACGCCCTCACCACCAAGACGCCCTCACCACCAAGACGCCCTAACCACCCAGAAGCCCTCACCACCCAGAAGCCCTCACCACCAAGACGCCCTCACCACCAAAACGCCCTCGCCACCAAGACGCCCTCACCACCCAGAAGCCCTCACCACCAAGACGTCCTCACCACCAAGACGCCCTCACCACCCAGACGCCCTCACCACCAAGACGCCCTCACCACCAAGACGCCCTCACCACCAAGACGCCCTCACCACCAAGACACCCTCACCATCAAGATACCCTCACCACCAAGACACCCTCACCACCAAGACGCCCTCACCACCAAGACGCCCTCACCACCAAGACGCCCTCACCACCAAGACGCCCTCACCACCAAGACACCCTCACCATCAAGATACCCTCACCACCAAGACACCCTCAGCGCCAAGACGCCCTCACCACCTATACGCCCTCACCACCAAGACGCCCTCACCACCACGACGCCCCGCTTTCAATTTTCTCTACCCCCATGTCGCCGAGCCGTCAACGGCTCTACCCCCAGACCACCCAGCCTCCAGCCGATCTCGCCGTAATCTTTTTTTACGAACCTGGCTCAAGTCCAGCTCTCCGGCGAGCCGCACATCGATTGCTCTGGGTTGCCTCCCTTTTACTCGTGTTGGCCGTGAGTAATTCGCCCTTGTTTGCCCGTCACGGACCCCGCATTTGACTCTCGCTTCTAAGCCCGTAACAAGCGATTAGCAACTTGCCTCAGACCTTTAACAAATAACAGCAACTCCTTCGGTAAAATCAATCGGAATTTTTTTTTTCTCACCGGAATTTTTTTTAACGGGATAAATTTTAATAGCCCCCGGATAAAATCGTCTGGATTCAATTGGTGGGCGGCACCGCAAAGCAGACATAAGCGCGGGGCCAGTGGTCATCCTGTACACCACACGCAGACAGTGGACGTCGCTGAAACCTTCGTCATGGCCGTTCTAGCGGTGTGGATAATCTTTCTCACTTTTGGTAAGTTTCTAAACTTTTATTTTAAATTTCAAATAACAAGGAGAAACGGAGTCTTTTAGACAAAACAACTGTAAATTTAAAAAAATGTGTAAATTAGATTCTAAAGAGTTAAAATATAAGTATAAACTTATAACTAATTTTAATTCTTTACTTCGTGTTTTTTATTAGTTTAGTTATTAATGTAGTACCGACACCATACCTCACTGAAATAAAAGCTTTGACAATTATTCTTTAAAAATATCCACAAAAGTACTTACTATTACAATGTTAGCTTTAGTTGTAAATCAAGATATTTCTTTGAAGTCTGTGGCCAGTTAAAGCAAGCTCAGATTACATTGTGATTAAAGACAATAAGTACATCGTTAAATCTTTGGATTCTTATTGTAAAGTTTTATAATACGAACTTCACTATTTAAAGAAATATTATTTTTTTGATGAGAGGTACTTTAAATCAAAGTTTGTAAAACAAATGATCAAAAAGTAGACAATTTTTAAAAATGTGTTTTGATGAACAGGAAATAAGAGTAGAGTCTCGTTAACACGTTTGTTCATAATAAACAGTATATGTGTCAGCCTGCAATGGATGTCAGCTTGATTGACAATACCAATCTTACTTGGTCTTTAATCCAAAGTTAATCCTTTTTCTAGCTGTAGAAAACAGGATTAAAATTATGTAACTTTATATAATAAACATACATATTTATGTTATAAATAATGAATCACTATATTTGCGTTAAAATTGGTCGGAGTAAGTACCGTTTAAATGTCTTTTTTTTTCAAAAAATTAAAATTTCTTTTAAAAGCACATATTGTTATGTTATATCCAGTTTATGTACACTTCGATATGGTGAAACATATACAGCTCCATATAACCTTCACATTTAAAAAAGTCAACCACCGCTCCATACAACTCCCTACCTTCACATTTTAAAAAGTCGACTTCACCACTCCATACAACCCCCTACCTTTACATTTTAAAAAGTCGACTTCACCACTCCATACAACACCCTACCTTCACATTTTAAAAAAGTCGACTTCGCCGCTCCATACAACCCCCTACCTTCACATTTTAAAAAGTCAACCACCGCTCCATACAACACCCTACATTCACATTTAAAAAAGTCAACCACCGCTCCATACAACACCCTACCTTCAAATTTTAAAAAGTCGACTTCACCACTCCATACAACCCCCTACCTTCTCATTTTAAAAAAGTCGACTTCACCGCTCCATACAACCCCCTACCTTCACATTTTAAAAAGTCAACGACCGCTCCATACAACTCCCTACCATCACATTTTAAAAAAAAAAGTCGACTTCACCGCTCCATACAACCCCCTACCTTAACATTTAAAAAAGTCGACTTCACCGCTCCATACAACCCCCTACCATCACATTTTTTAAAAAAAGTCGACTTCACCGCTCCATACAACCCCCTACCTTAACATTTAAAAAAGTCGACTTCACCGCTCCATACAACCCCCTACCTTCACATGTTAAAAAAGTCAACCACCGCTCCATACAACCCCCTATCTTCACATTTTAAAAAGTGGACCCTCGCTCCATACCTTCACATTTTAAAAAGTCGACTTCACCGCTCCATACAACCCCCTACTTTCACATGCTTGTCCGTAGCCTTGAAGAAAACACTAAACAACCGAAAACTGTATTAGCCAAATCCTATTAGCGGCGCCTCAATTCAATTTTGATTGTTTTATTTCTTGCGGGAGGAACGGGTGTTTTATAAAACATTTTCCTCCTTACCGGCACGCGACCGTCTTTCTGATGCCAGGGCAGCACGTGCGACCTGTACTGTCATTCATCTAATGGGGGTCGGGAGTGGTGGACCGGGGCACGTGATCAAGGTTATTAAGTGCTCGTTAGGTCTTTGAAAACAGCTGACAAAGGGAGGCAGTGCTGAACAACGGGCGGGGAGAAGTAGCTCGGTTTATATGAAGGCGTGAACTATGGGGCTCTTTGTAAGTTAGGGCGTGAGCTATGGGGCTCTTTGTAAGTTAGGGCGTTATGAGGACGGTTTGAATTAGGGCGTTATGAGCCTCGTTTTAAATCAGGGCGTGAACTATGGGGTCGGTGTAAGTTAGGGCGTTATGAGGACGGTTTAAATTAGGGCGTTATGAGGACGGTTTAAATTAGGGCGTTATGAGGACGGTTTAAATTATGAGCCTTATTTAAACTTAAGGCCGAAAATATGGAGTTTTGTGTAAGTTAGGGCGTTATGAGGATCCGTTTACATTAGGGCGGTATGAGCCTCGTTTTAAATTAGGGCGTTATGAACCGTGTTTTCAATTAGGGCGTGAACTATGGGGCTCGGTGTAAGTTAGGACGTTATGAGAATCGGTTTAAATTAGGGCGTTATGAGCCTCGATTTAAACTAAGGCGTTATGAGCCTCGTTTTAAGTTAAGGCTTTATGAGCCTCGTTTTAAGAGCCGCAGTACGAGGTCTCTACCGCCCGGCCGATGAGCGGGGGTCTTAACGAAATTTATCCCATTTAAAGTGTTATGAGCCTGTGATGACGCAAGATTACGTCAGACATGTTTAGCAGATATAAGTTAGCAGAAACAGACTATAGGCCTAGTTGGTTGGTTAGAGAGGCCAATGGGCGCACAGGGCTGACCGGTCACGTGGGACGGTCAGCTGACCACGGAGGCGTGGGGCAGTAGAGCGATAGGCCAGGAGTTGTTAGGTAGCGGGCAGAGACGGCCGAGAATGTAGATAGTTAGGAGATCATGATTAGCTAGCGAAGGTAGAAGGTGTTAGATTGTAGAATGTAGAGGACAGTTAGTGTTAGGATTGGTCATGGGAGTGCGTAGTAGTAGGTAGCATGTGGTATGAACAGTCAGTAGTAGAAGTAAATAGTACAGTGTAGATCAGTTAGGTAGAAACTTGAACATATATAGATCTATCATTTTAATAAAGAACAATTATAGTTGAACTTGAACTGTGTGTTATTGGATTCATTCGTTACCGCCTTCTTAAAATCCCCACCCTCACAGAGCCTCGTTTTAAGTTAGTACGCCGACTATAAGCCTCGTTTTGAACTAGGGCGTGAACTATGAGCCTCGTTTTAAGGTAATCGGGAAATATTGTTGACGGCCATTATTGGAGAAGAGTTTGAGATGTTTGGTGGAGGGGTGGGCTTGGCCACATGTGGAGAAAAACATGTGATGTTATAAAATTAAGTTTGTAATGTAATATGTTATAGGAAATGGGAAACAAAATATATTTTTATGTCTATGCCGTCTTTTTTTTTTTAAAAAAAGCTAATATAGAATTTTACACATAGCTAAATGAAACTTGAATGATTTTTAATATCTGGTTGCAAACGTGGTATGTAAAAAAAAATTATTTTGTAGATATGTGGATAGTGCGGAAAGGGCAGTAAAGTTTAGAAAAGTAGAGTTAAGGGTAAATTTTACTTTAATTTTTCTTCTCTTTAGTTTAGCTGCCTTATCTTCCTTTTAAAAAAATAAAAATAATAACAAGAGAATCGACATAGGAAGCTCAGGATCATGCAACTTCTGACAGCACTGTGGTTAGGACCGAGAGGTAGTGGATGGAAACTTAGTTTCAGTTTCTTCTGTCGCTATGATTTGGGGGTATTTTTATTAAATAAAATTTGTTCGCGCATGCATGGTACACATTTCATGATGTATGTGTAGTTTTGTCCACATTTTTAGGCTGCATAGAGTTTGTACACTATAAATAAATGATACAACCGCAATCAGAAAAGTCTAAATGACAAAATAATCGAAACAATCAAGAACTTTAGCCGTTGTATCCAGTGAAGTAACTCAAATATCCTAAAACAGTGGTTCTTAACTTTTTATGAAGTATCGAGTCCCTTCAGTTTCACATGCGCATTTACTGAACCCTTCTTACTAGTTCTATCGTCTGCACTGTCAAAATCCGCCCGTGAAGCATATGAGTCGGGTGTGTCTTGACCTCTGCTGAATCTATGGGACTGACACACCGAACCCCTGGGGTTCGATTAAACACAGATTAAGAACCACTGCCCTAAAACTAATTGTCAAACATTACAGTAATGCACGGCCCTAAATGCATGGTTGGATAATTTCCTTCATTTCGTTGGGGTTTTTACATTAATTTCAGTAAAAAAAATGACACAGAACAGGACGTTTAATAAACGCCGGTCGTTAGGCGAACGGTATTACAATTTTGTCAGCAATCAATGATATCGATCTTATATTGATCATGTTACAATTAGCTTCACGGTACACGATATCGTTATACAACCAGCGGTAAAAAAAGTTCAATGGATGCTTGTAAAACAGAAATCAACTTTATGCTCATAAATTAGTAACATAACCGTCTACAGGCATTTATTTTAAGTGCATAAATAATTCCTTGGTAAAAAATAGAAAAATAAAAATCGTTTTTATTGCTGATGGCAGATTTTTGTAATCTCTGTGTCGTCAGTAAAAAGGAGATGAAGTAGAGTTCATATGTTTCTTGACATAGGAATTCAAAGGGAAGGTGTTTTTAGCACTTTGCCAAGCCGCTTTACTTTCCCTGAGTTAGGTACCC